GGAAAAGACGAAGAGATTGGAGCTGTATCTAACCAGTTGATTCCATATTGTGGCTGGCGCTTAAGTACAAAGCAGACTATTTGAATTGAATTCAGATATATTTAGTCATGATTCTCAGCTTGCCCTTTGTTTTTTACCTCAAGCCATGTTTAACGGTGAGAAGCATACGCCGGACCGTATGCCCCACTACTCATGAAGTTGATGGATTCATCAGATTCCAGCTGGTACGGAAGCATTTGTCTACGTGGTCTTTGACAATTGCCAAAAGAGGTGGACTGAACTATACAAGTGGCGCTATGAAGAAGGGGGCCAAGGAAGCTACCCTACATACAGCAGCAAGAACCCAGTACTTTTCGCTTCAAGGGAAAATACTCTGATAATTGTTCTGGCCAGAAAGAGTTTGGTGGGTGGGTTGCTGAAGGCATTGACATGTTTGAGGAGGTCAAGGAAGAGGTCAAGATAACCGAGAGACGAATCTTGACAAGTTGGTTGAAATTGATACCAAGTTTGTTGAAATGCTGCAGGTAAGTGCAACAGTCTGTGCGCCATACCTGAAATTATTGCCACTCATCTATATACCTGTACCTTTGCCTCACTATTCAGAACGCCATGACGAGGCTATGGCGAAAAAATATGACCAAGCTTCGGCAACCTATCAACTGAAATTGACTCCCAGAAGCGAAAGCGCGAGGCAAAGAGGCACGAAAGCACAAAAAGAGGAAGAGAGCCAAGCACCCTTGATGATTAATCAGGGGTCTCCACTGAATATTTTGGGCCTGATACTTCCTGATTTGACCTTTCGGTACAGATCAATCCCCTTGTTGCTGTTGTTTTCGGTTGCAGGTGCTCAGCTGGTTATTTTTGCACCCCACCACTTTCCGAAACTGTACATCTTGACCTTTTGGTTGGGACCTTGCCTATTAGTGGTGCTGTTTGTGGTTGACGTGGAATGCAATCTGTACAAGGCCCCGTATTTTAAGCATGTGTTGTCATGATATGTTATTTTCCATGACCCGTTCCCACTACGTTTTAAATCTAATTCTCTCCTAGTATGTTATTATTTCAACTCTATTTTTCTTCTAATTCTGTAGTCTAAGGTTCTTACCATTCTGTATTGCGCACGGCCTGATCTACAACAGAATGGTCCTGATCAACGAGGAAGGTCAGCCACTTAGCAATTTGTCTGGCAGTTGGCTTTCTGCCGAAATTACACAGTGCACATGACAAACACCTTCTGAATTGAAGAACGTAGGCAGAAAGCTGGCTGCCTGACAAGTTGCTAAGTGGCTTGCTTTCGTCTGATTCTAGTTTCTGTTCTGTGCTGGAATCCAAGCTTCACCTTCTGATCTGAATTGGGGGAAAAGGTCCATATTGCTACCTTGGACATAATCCTTTGTAAGACGAGACCATGTCTATGTCAAATTTTGACCTACTACTGTTTGCCCCTTATCTTGACCAAAGGTCATATCAGGCTTCTTAGACGAACTCACATCAATGAGAGCCCAAGAAATGCAGCAGATTTGAGACGCTGATAGAAAGTGCGAGTTGAGTCCCCTGTCGTTCTGCATGGTGCAAACACAATTGAGAATGACAATCTATCCGTTTCTATGCACTTTAGGTATCTTCTTGAAAACTAGTGTAGTACCTGGTACGGTACTGTACGGTAGCAGGTTCTTCCTGCAGCGGTTTCGTCTTCTGCAAGTTTGTTTTGGTAATTTGCCAAACATTGTGTTTTCGCCGTTTTTGGCGCGATTGAAACGTCAAAAATAGAGAAATCCTTGAAATTGCATCTTGGATCTTCCTCTTGGCACTCGCAAAGCACAAAGCGCAAAGCACAAACCACAAACAACCACACCATGATGTCAACGTCCAGCACTACCTCGAGCAACAGCCGGCCCACCATGACGGTGGTAAATGGTCGGCTGCCCCAGATAGCCACTCCATCTCATTATGACTTGACGTTTACTCAAGTGGATCTGGAGGGATTCACATTTAGTGGGACCGTGGTGATGTCCTTGACTCGCTCTTCCACAGCCGAAGCAGTCGACCATTCGTCTCTGGTGGTCCATGCCCGGGAATTGCAGTTGCTCAGCTCCACATTGACCCGTAAATCAGATGACAGTTCGTTCCAGGCAGTCGAGTTTCGGTATCAGTTGCACCATGAGACATGTGAAATCGTCTTTGACAGCAGCCCTTGGACTACTACTAGTGGACCTAGTAACACTGACACGGAGTGCACATTGACCATGGAGTTCTGTGGCATTCTCAATGATCAAATGGCAGGATTCTACAGGAGTCAGTACACGGATCTACAGGGACGATGCATCACCATGGCATCGACGCAGTTTGAACCCACCGATGCCAGGAGGGCGTTTCCGTGTTGGGATGAACCTGCCTTGAAGGCCACCTTTCAAATGACCGTCATACTGCCCAATCACCAGTTGCAAGCCATTTCCAATACACCCATTATATCCAGTCATACGACTATGTCGACTAGTAATCAAACATTGATCAAGACGGTCCGATTCGACAAGACACCCAAAATGTCTACGTATCTCGTCGCATTGGTGATTGGACAATTCGATTCCATTTCCACCACGTCCCCACAATCCCAAATTCAAACCACCGTCTATACCCGACCCGGCAAGGCCGCCCAAGGACAATTCTGTTTGGACACGGCCAGTCAATGTCTGGATTTCCTACAAGATACCTACGGGGTTCCCTATCCGCTGGGCAAGAGTGATTTGATTGGGATTGCCGATTTTGCAGCCGGTGCCATGGAAAACTGGGGTTGTGTCACCTATCGAGAAGCCAAAATTCTCGTCACGGCAGGGACATCGACCACTATGAAACGAGGGATTGCCCGGACCGTTTGTCATGAATTGGCGCATCAGGTAAGCTTACTTAGGCAATACATGGAAGGATCTGACTGCAATGTAGAAACAAGGGTTTCTTGTTCGTCAACTCATGATTGTTTGCACCCACTGGTTACTTCTTTGTTTGATTTTTATTCAACTACTTATTTGTGCAGTGGTTTGGCAATCTCGTCACACCCGAGTTTTGGACACAACTATGGCTCAAGGAAGGAGTGGCACGGTTCATGGAATTTGTTGCCCTGGAGCACTTGTTTCCGGAATGGAAACCATGGGAAGAGTTTGTGCAATCCGTATACAATTTGGCGCTCTCGTTGGATTCATTGGAATCCAGTCATCCCGTGGAGGTCGTTGTGACACATTCCGATGAAATCAATGAAATCTTTGATGCCATTTCGTATGTAAGTAACAGTAGCCAACAGCAAGGGCAAGGAATCATGTCACTTGCCGGACTCTTTCTCACGTCTTTCATTACTTCTACATGTACTCTTGTTGTTGCGTTGCGTTCATGGACAACAGGCCAAGGGCGCCAGTATCATTCGAATGCTCTGTCACTACATTGGCAAGCAGACCTTTATGGATGGGATGAGACTCTATCTGCAGCGACATGCCTATGGGAACACTACTAGTGAAGATTTCTGGGCAGCATTGGCCGAAGTCTCGGGCAAACCATGTGTGAAATTCATGGAACCGTGGACAAAACTAATGGGATTCCCACTCTTGCAGTTGATACAAGACGACAACAATAGTAAGATCACCATGACCACCAATCAGTTTCGTTCCAGCAACACTGCGGCGTCATCCACGGAGAACACCACTACTAAAGAATGGCCCATGCCAGTGACTGCCCGCGTGGAAGGAAGCGACAAAGTCTTTGGACCGTGGGTCCTGCATGGACCGGACCACGACGATTCGGAAGCCTTTTTAAAGCAACTGGAAGAATGGTCGGCAGGCAACAAGTGGTTCAAACTCAATGTAGATCAACACGCATTCTTCCGTGTCAACTACACGCCCCAACAGTGGAGCCGCTTGGCAAACGCCATGACGTCCTTGTCAGTGACAGATCAACTGGGATTGGTCGGCGATTCCTTTGCGGCAGGAAAGTTTGGATATGCCTCTATTGTGGACTCGTTGAAACTGGTTGAAGGATTTGGAGAACACGATACTGCAGGTTAGAAGTGGCAGCCCACTGGGATGCAAGATTTGACAGAAGTTGAGACCTCACTATTTTGTGTTTTGTCGTGTTGTCGTGTTGTTAGAGTATGTGGTATGGCAGGAGTTGGCAGGAAACCTATCTACATTGGCGTCCTTGTACCGCTCGGAGCCCTACTATCCTCAGTTTCAAGACTATGTAAAGAAACTGTTTGCCAAACAAGCAGGAATTCTCGGGTGGGAGTCATCTCCCGATGAGTCGGCTCGCACAGGCACCCTCCGTGGATCTGTCCTCCGTATGATGGGGATTGCCAATGACGCCGAAACGAAGGCAGAAGGATACAAGCGATTCATGGAGCTTACCCGAATGCCGTCCTTGGAGGGAGCTGTTTCCGGTGACATTCAACGAGTCCTGTTTCATTTGGCATTGAAGCATGATGAAGCAACGGTCTTTCCCGCCCTCAAGCGTGTCGTGGAAGAGCACGCTGGATTATCCCCAGGTAAATGATGCAGGAAATTGTGTGTCACCGATTCAATCGGCTACCATGAAGGCATCACTCCGCTCACAGATCGGTTTTCCCTTGTTGCTCCCAGAGACCCAGCGCGACTGTTTGGTGGTAATGGGATCGGTGCATGATGCAAAATTTCACAACGAAATGCTGGAATATGTTTTCTTTTCTGGCAAGGTCCGACATCAGGACGTCGCCTTTCCTTTGAGTGCCCTCAGCGGTGGTAGCGACCAAGGCGGACGGGCTACCTGGAATTTCTTTGTTCAGAATTATCACAAATTGCGTTTGATGCTTGGGGCTGGTTTCTTGTGGAGAGACGTTGTGGGCGTTTCCGCTAGGGGACTTCGAACACTGAAGGAAGCCCAAGAAGCGGAGGATTTCTTCAAGGATCCTAAACATCCCGTGGGTTCGGGCGCCCGTAGACTGCAACAGGCTTTGGAAGTGGTTCGCAACCAGGCTGGGCGTATCGAGCGTGACCGCGAAGCCCTGACCAAGTTTTTCCAAGCATAGACGTTTCTAGTGCTCTGTCGCTTCCGTCTCTGGTGCGCTGATGTGGGGAAATTTCAATATGACAATTAACTTCTTTACCTAGAGGCATACTTTACTACTCTAGAGGCATATTTCGCTACAAACATTCACCACAACTAATCTCGACTCAATTGTCTTGCAACCGCCATTTACCAGCAACAGTCCAACACCTCCCCTTCCACGGTCGGCTCCAAAGACCAAAGTTCATCACCCGCGGTGATGTTGGTTCCTTTCACCACCCTCCCGTTCAATGTGACGAGGGTGTAGTCTTCATACACAAAGCTTCTCTTCTCGAAGAAGCTGCCATCGCAGTAATAGCAGCTCTCTGGGAATTCTTGGTGGTGGTTGACGCGGAACAATTCCTGGATTCCCTGGCTTTCGGCATTTCCAACATCCAGCACCACGAAACCTTCGAATGCTTCCTGGTTGGGGCTTTGCGTCTCTGGGGATCTTTCCACTACCGTTGAGTTGTGGTCAACCACAAAAAAGTCGTCGTCATGGTAGGCATAGATTGGGTGGATGGAAGCGGGAACAATCAGCTTTCCATCCTTGTATTGAACAGCCTTTGACTCGTATTCGCTGACGGAATATGAGTTGGCTTCATCTGGGTCGGCCAGCATGTAGCTATCCACAACCTTGGGCTCCGATGGGTCGGACACATCGAAGACGCTGATCAGCACCCCGGTGTTGATCTGATCCAAACCTGCACCAGTGGTGTTTTGCCCAATGCCGACCAGCATACTGGAATCCTCGTTCAGGGGGTGCAAGTACCGAGCGAATCCTTGCAATGTGACTGATCCCTTAATAGCGGGGGCTTCACCTGGGGCCAGCTCAAGCACATAGAACGGATCTCTCTCGTCGAAAGTCATTGCGTACGAAAAAGTCTCGCCAAATCGAACCGCAGTGATGATTTCGTGGGGTTCTCCAATGCGGACACGCCCAATTTCCGTCATCTTCCCCTGTTGGGCAACGTCGAGCACAACGACAAAGTTGTCTGTCGATGAGATGTCCTCGTCGGTTGTGGTGGCGTTGATGTCGCAAATGAACGTGGCTGGGCAACCAGTCTTGACAACTTTTCCGGCGGGGCAGTCAATCGCGACATCAAAGCATTCATCCCAGTTCTCCTCTGTGATGCAGGGATCCTCGTTCCAGTATTCATCTCCACATGCTTCCCAGACTGTGTCCACGGGGAACCACTTTTGAAGAGTTGTGGCGACTCGGAGATCGTTGCCCTGAACATCAAGCGAGTGCTTGGATGCCATTCGTCCCTCCAATAGAGCAATAGATTGGAAGGTGGCTCCTACCTGATTTCCTCCTTCGACGATGTTCAGGTTCAAAAGGAACAAAGACTCTTGGCTGCGCTGAGTGGCTTCATTCCATTCGGAGTTTTCAAGTGACAATACAAGCGCATTATCGGTACCGTAGAGTTTGGCTGATGAGGAGGGGACGAAGGCCCCGGCCGTGGAAACCTGCAAATCCTCATTCCCTTCGACCGATAGAAAGTCGTTGGCGTTGATGGTGGTGATCTGCTTGTAGAAGGCCAGCGACTCGTCAAAACTGCCAAAGTAGTCAGCAAAGTGCCATGGTTCGACAAATCCCTCCGGTTTCCATGCGTTCAATCGAAGCATTGATGGGATCTGATCATCAACGGACAAACCTTGACTGATGGCTTGGACAAACCTGGGGATTAGGTGCGTTTCAGCCAGCCCAGAAGCCGCTTGGATGTAGTCAGCCTGTGACATCCAGGGGAAGTATCGGACATCAAGGGCGTCGGTGAAATCGTAGATTGCAACACTACTGCTGCTCAAGATCTGAATGCTGTTGCTCTCCTGCATCCAGAGTCCGTCTTCATACAATCCGTTGACGATTTTGGACGCCACCTTCAGCATGGCTGCATTCGTTGACGTTGGCTTTGTGTACACAATCACTCGAGTTGCCCCTTGGTTTTGAAGGCCTTTTTGGCTGTCCCAGTCAACGGAAACATCAGTGACGATGACAACATGTTCCTCAGTGAGAAGCACGGCTCGAATGAACTCCTTTTGAGTCCAACCATATTCATCGGGTTCTCCCTTTGGCGTCGCCACCTGTTGAATCAATTCGCCTCCGCGGGTCATCACCAGCAAGTAGTTCCCGTAGGCCGCGTAGATGAATTCACCGTCGCTCTTGACAATATCAGCTTCGTCAGCAGTCTTTTCTTGGTTGTTTGTTGTGCCACCCTTTTGTGAGTTTGAAGCCCTGACTTGTTTATCGGTGCCAGCCGAGGCAACAGCTGCAGCAGTCCCCGCTGCGACTGCTGCCGCGGTTGTGGTGTCATTCAAGCCCTCAACATGGTTGATTCCGTTGTAGTGATATTGGTTGCTGTTTTGGACGTTCCACAAGATGACATTGCCTGCAATATACTTCAAGACATCGGTGAGGTCCGCCTCGAACTCTGCTTTGGAAGCGTATCCATCAACAATGCCTTCAGAGAAGGGCTGTAGCTTGGCATCTCCAAAGGGGTTCTCCAGTGCCGGGGCATCCGTTTTCGCACCCGTAGTGCCGGTCTTGGCTGTCTCGTTGCTTGCAGAAAGACTCTGACTCTGCAATTGCGATGCAGGGATATCCGGCAAGTCGCAATCAACTTGTTTGCCTTTTCGGGTCTGGGTAACAGCCACGGCAACAACGATTGTCACCATCAAAAGAAAGGCGATAACAGCCCCCAAGAGGATGTTGCGTTTCTTTGTGCCACCATTTTTGTCGCTTCCAGCTTGTGGGTCTCCCTTTCCGGATTCGTCTGCAGCTTTCTCGACATCATAGTTTGTTCCTTCGAGAGACACGTTCTCCATTGTTGTCTCTTCTTCGTTCGTGTTGTTATCCTTTGGATTCATCTTTGTTGTGGTTCGCTCTTCTGTGTTCCTTTCTGCTTCGATTTGTTGTTTGTTATTGTTTGCTTTTTGCTTTTGTGAGCTTTCCTATCGGCGTTGCGGATCTGGAGGACCAGAGGCAAGATCTCTTTACGTCTCGGATCGCCATGCACTTCCTGGCACCCACCACGACCTCAGTCGTCAACTTTTCTAGCGTTGACGAGCTTCAGTAAATTCAGTCTTCTTAGTAAAATTCTGTGCTGAACGCTGGGGAGAGTATCTTTGCCCGACTGGGCCCAACCGAGAGATCTTGCAACCGTCGCGGGAGTTGACCAGGTTGAGTCGAGTCAGTCCGGAACCCCCACGGCAAACCTACCAAATGCCTTGCACATCTATTTATCTTACTCCTTGTGCTTTAGAATTACTCCTCATAACCGACGGTGGCCGTATGGTCATCGGTCGCCCCTGCATTCGAGGTCATTGGTCTTTGATCGTTGGGCAGTGCGAAGCACCAAATTTGTTGGAGCTGGCTGTCCCTCAGTCGGCAAAAAGAACGTTTCAACCACTTCAAGTCATACTAGTTATCCGGGTAGCGTCAGAGGGAAACTATCTACGGAAAGGTGCGATGGGCCAGACTTCAGCAAAGAAGCGGTGGAATTCTACTAGTAGTTGTTTGACTGAACTCTTCTTTGCTTCTTCAAGTAAAAGAGTTCTATTTTTTAAAGGCTACTCTGTGTACGACTTATCCACCGTGCCGCTACCCTAAACCGATAACCCCCACAATCTTCGGTTGTGCATATTGGAAGGATGGGTGCACTGGAGGCCCACCTTTAGAATGGAATTCAAATGGAACTGAAATAAAAAGGAACACTCGTGCTAACTGAAATGATACGATTACTTGGACCTGATGGCTAGACACAGACCTGCCGCCATTTGAGTACTAACATAAAAAAGCACACCGTATCGAAAGCGTACATGATGTGTTCTTCGGTCTATGGATCTGTATGAACTTTGATGGGTCCGATGAGCATTTCGGTGAGTTGTTGCAGTAAATCAGTGTCGTCTTTTCGAAGAGATTCCCGAACGAACTCGGTCATGCCAATATCTCCCTGAAGCTTCTCACGATCCTTCTTGATACCATCACGGATTTGCTTCAATGAATGAGACTCCGCTTTGATCTCATTTTCAATTTCGCGCATTTTGTTGCAGAAAAAGTTGACGTGATCGCGAAGAAGCTGTTGTCGCAGTTCTGGATCATGCACTTGTTCATCGCTGTTGCCAGATATAGCGTTCCACAGGTTCCGCCTTGGTTTGTTGCCTGGGACAGACATCATTGCCGGGCTCTCCACAATTCGAAGCACCAAATCAAAATCCTCGTGTAACCTCGTCATTTGTTCTTTGTGATTGTTCAACATTTGAAATACAAACGAAACCCACGCTTCTTCCTTCTTCATATGGTTGTACTCGATTCTCTTTTTGTCGATCTCATCTTCCTTCAGCTCTTTGAGCTTATCCATGATGTCGGAAAGCTTGGCTGCCGCCAATCTGGCCGATTCTGCATCTGCCTTTGCGTCGGCAAGTTCTAACCGAAGCTCTTCGTTTTCTGCTGCCAGACCTTCTGCTTGCTCCAACTCTTCCGTCATTTGGGCTATTTGTACCTTCAGTGCTGGCAGCTCAATTGCAGAAGCGCTAGCTGATTTTCGAACGTCACTCTTTGCCGCCAGGACCTCTTTTTTGAGTGACTCAACTTCCTTTTCAAGGTCATGAACGTGTTTGGAATGGTCATTGGCGGCTTCAGGGCCAGTGAGGGGCGCCGTGGCCACGGAATGAACTGAAGCTTCATCGTCAGACACAGCAAAGGAACCTGCTGTCGTGTTTTGGTCCATTAATCTCTTTACAGTCTCCTGCAATTCTTTAACTTGTTGCTTCATCAGTTGGTTTTCTCGTTGAAGCTTGGCGGCTTCCTCTGGCGAGATATTCTTGACCAAATTTCTGGTAGCTGAATTCTTGATGTTTCTGGCACTAGTAGCATATCGAAGTGTATTGATAGACTCATCGATGTTGTAAGCGGCCGGGGAAACGCACGCTAACATGATCGTGCGACTGTTGCCTCCCAAGGAGTCCTGTAACAGCCGTGTAAGTTTGGAATCACGGAATGGTGGCTTTCGCTTCAGTTTCCCCCCCTTTCCCCTTTCGGATAGTGCAGACACCACTTGTCCAAGGATGAAGAGACCCTTATTGATGTTGATCCCTTCTTTGGCTCTTCCTCCCTGTGCTCCAGTCTTTTTGATGCGTTCAGATCCGGCTAAATCTACCAGAGTGAGTTTGGAGGAGAATTTGTCCGAGCCATCGGCCGATTCAACGACACCGCTGATTTTGAGCGTGCAGATTGCATGGGAACGAGATGAAACGGCATTCATTGCTGTTGCTGCGACGACTCGTTTTTTGGCGGCCTCTTCCATAAGTTTGCCGATATCGATGGGCGAGAGGACAACCCGATCTTCTTGACCCGACACATAAACTCCACCATCCAATGTTTCTCGGATTTTGAGCGGCTTTTCCTCTTCAGCCAACAAGTCTCTAATCTCTTCGTTATAGATTTCCAAGTAGCTCAATTCAACCTTGGCATTTCCGTCACATTTCTCCTTGATGCAGTCAAAAAGGTCGACGCAACATCTCGGAATCATTCCATCGTTTTCTGTTACTGTTACTCCATGAACAGCTGTCCCCATTGAAAAGGTCTTACCAGCCCCAGTCTTCAATCCATTCGTCAACACAGCATCACAGTAAAACACCAGAGTCAGTTCATCCAATCAATGATTCTCTGCTTTTAGAGTCTTCCTTCTCCGCTCTCCGCCTCACCTACCTGGCCATACGCCAACACAGTGCAGTTGAAACCTTTAAAAATATTCTCCCGCACCGCATGCCTGGCTCCACATCTGATGTAGACTTCTTCTTGGGATGAATTCTTATCGAACACAGCATCCAGCTCAAACCATCGCTTTTGACCATCAGGAACCTTAACCTGGAGTAATTCGGGGTCAGTGGTAGGTTGGTATCCAGTATTTAGTGACTTCTCCAAACTGCTCATGGAAACAATGGCTTCCACAGACTTTCGCTCCAGCTCCGTCTTGGAGAGGGGACGAATCCGAGCCACAACCCGCACATTGGAGGATTCGTCATCGACGACCATGCTGCAGCTGGTAGTACCGTAGAGTTACTTTCTTGGAACGAGATAGTCTTTGTGTGGACTCCCAGAGCAGATTTGGTCGCCAATAAGAGCTCCCCCAAAAGTACGGGTAAGTGGGGAGAGACACAGCGACACGACACAGCACACGAGGCCAAATAAAGCGGCTCAGCTGGATGAGCCTGAAATCGCTTTCCTGAGTTCGGCGAGGGTCGAGGTCTTTGATTGTTGCCAATGCAAAGCACCAAATTTGTTGAAGCTGGCTACCGTACCATACATTTCAGTGGACAACAAGAACGTCTCAATAATAAGAACGTCTCAATCCGGCGAAACCATGTGAGGCACAGAAAGGCCCCCCGAAGGAGCGGCTCCAAGTAGCAAGGGCACCGGGCATTTGCACCATGATGAGAGTCTCGGTCTGGACAGTCCCGGTCTGGAGAGTCTCGGTCTGGAGAAGAACATGAACTGACTTTGTTGTCGATATCAATGGCCCCCATTGCATCAGCAGACCTACGAGGAAGACGCATGAGCAGACCTCGAGGAAGAGCAGAAGCACAGGAGAACAAAAAGGAACTCCTCATCATGACTATCACGGCGCTCCAGGGTTGGCTAGTGTTTTTAAGGAGAGGCTGCCGTTGCATGTCACATCGCTGTTCTGGTCTTAGCTGCAAATGGGAAACAAAGTGAGTTGATGAGGCGGCTTGGCGAATATTATTTAGCTATCTCCGTGAGCCGGCCCTTCGAGCTGCAGCTTTACATCCACCCGAGGTTGTTCCTTGCACGAGGGCACCAACTGCATCCACCCGTGGTTGGTGCTTGCGCGAGGACGAACCAACCCACAGACCAGGAACCACCGCAATACGACACCTTTCCCAGCGGGTCAACGTGCAGGAAGGACTCATGAAATGGCCGCCAACAGGTCTCCCCTGCAAGCAGGCCCCCGAAGGATCGGCTGCAAAAGCAGCGCCGAGAAGGTGTCATCGTCGTGTCTTCGAGAGGAACGGCCAACAACACCATTGCCGACGGCCGATACGAGAAAGAAGACCTGCACAAGGAAGAGACAAGGGTTTAAGGCGCCACAGTTTGCTTTTGAAACGAGCACTGAAAGACAGAAGAACCAGCATTACCTTTGCACGAGGACGAACCAAAGGAAGAGAGAGCTCAACACGAGTTCGCAAAACCTCAATTGGCTAACTTGGACGCTGACATGCATTGCTCTGCTTCCTAATAAAATGAGAGGAAGGTTTGTTGGAAGCAACGTTCAAGGCAATTGACGTTTCCTTTATGATTTGAAGCAACGTCGTTTGCGACGTTTCGGCAAATCAAAAAAGGCTTCAAAATGAAACGACTTGACGTCACTCACACGTCGGCAAAGGTACGAGAGCGTCGTACACACCGGTACTGGTACGGTACCTGATACGTCGGAGGTTGCTTCCAACAACCTGTTGTCTTCTTCGGTACCAGTACCGTAGCCTTCCGCACAGCTTCAGCAGGAACCAGTACGGTATGAATGCGTTGAGCTTCAAAAGCGCCGCTCTGCGGTTGAGCTTGGCATCCAGAGCGTTACGATTTCAGGGGATCACCATCACGGCAGCCATTGGCTCGCTGAGGCTGAAACACAACCCGCACAAAGCCAAAGTGGAAATGTAGAAACAAAGACACGAGAACACAGCTTGATCTGATTCATCCACTGCAGACAAGCAACCAAGTCGGATCTCGAACCCCTACTTGGACGGCATGTTCCACGCCATGAAATATCTTTGCTACAGTAGCGCATGGGTTCAAGCATGTCAACAGACGCAGCAATTGCTTCCTCGTTATTCGCTCTGAATTGGGGATGAATAGATAAGGCAAAATCCTTTGACCTGTGGATTGGAGAATGCCATTGGGATGTACGACTGTACCGTTTTCGAACGTTTAAGACTGACTCGACTCCCAAGCACCGCCCAGCTATCAAAAGGGGCAACTCCTAGCGAGCGGGAAGCTTTAATGGACGTTGCGCTGAAGCCTCACTCTTGAGTACTCTAGCTAGTAGTCCTACCGTATAAATAATAAATAAACAGAAATAATGGAAGAATGGAAAATGGAAGTCTTTGTCTACATCGTCGCTTAAATCCTCTCAGGACTATCCAGCTTACGTGGCTCAAACACCTCACGCGTACTGTTTTAATAAAAAGAACAGACAGCCGTAGGTTGCCCGACGACAATAGGATACTTGTGTGGTTTGAGGACGGAAGGAGTGTAGCGCCAATAGGCAACGTGGACTCCTTTCAGTGTTTCGACTGTTCCGTTGGTCACCTTCAAGTCATCGTCGCACAAGGGAGGGACCAAGTCGTCGCATCGAAAGTATCCCTTCCATTTGTCGCTGTGCTTCGCCATTGTCTCTGGGTAGCTTTCTTTGGCGGAAGGAATGCTTTATGGATTTGATGGAAGCTTCAAGAAATCATGATCCCATTCATTCAAGTTTCAGTGATCCCCATCACTCTCTAGCTGGCTAGAAAGCTACATTACTAGCTACTAGCTAGCTAGCGCTGACGATTGCTATTGCAGTTGCAACTCTAGACCATCGGCAGCGATGACTGACTGCTTCGATCATGATGAGACAGCTCATTTGGATCCAAAATCCTACTCCGAGCGATGCTGGCAAGATTTACGCAGACTCAGAGTCCAAGGACTGATTAGATTTATGAAATGAAGAAACTTTCCTTGGAAGCACGGATGCTGAATGCGGAGACTCCACTCACCTTCCAACTCACCTCCAGACCTTGCTCAGAGTTGCTCTCGTCACAGAGCAGACTATGCTAGCCCACTAAAATTTAATGTAGCTTGGTCCCTCCAGCCACCCGCCCACGATGATGGACGAACGAGCAGCCGCATACTATGCATAGCTAGTCTTCTTGCATGATTCTGTTCCTTGAACTTAGGCGCTTTGGCACCAGAAAAAAGAGTACTGGTAGTGGCACAATCGCCAAGGTATTAGCACCGTTAACACAGAAACCGAGAGCACGACGGTATCTTGGATGCAGCAACCGATGAGAGGAGGTGCGTCCCGTCTTTCCGGTACTAGTACTTTGAAGTCGGAGAAAACGGTTTGGACATCCTTGGTACGATGTCTTGCGTGGTGATCAGCGTTGTTTGGTAGCTGATTGGCTACTGCACACGATGATCGGGGATGTTGGAAGAACATCTGTAATTGGAGAATGCTTTCATGTAGTGGTACGTGAGCCTGTTGAGGAAACCTAGCAGGATAGTCTCGCTAGCTTGCTAGGGGATTGCAAATACTCGTAACCCATCCAGACATGGACGAGTCGAAGTGTTCTTTTTGCCGACGGGCCATGACCGAGGCAACCCAACCCAGCCAGCCATGCATCGATTCATCAAAGTTTGTCAATGTGTTGCTTCACGCAACCGAAGCACTACTCAAAAGCTACTGAACCATGTCTATACATGTAGATTGGGGGGTAGATCGCAAGCGCGTCCTGTAGTACGTGTATCGGTGTGCTTGTTTGAGCCCCCAGGGAAATCGTTTTGGTTTGATCAAGCTTGCTGCAAGCGCCCTAGCTAGCTAGTTCGTGTGACTAGCGTTTTCGTCTTTTATTCAATTTGCTGGTACAAACAAACAAATGATTGACGTCGCTTGAAAGCAAGCAACCTATCCCAGCTCTTCTCCTTCGTCCCCGTCACCGTGGGGTCTCAATCTCTCCACCAACAAGAAAGCAAAAAAGAGCTGCCTTTTACATTGTCATGGTGGTGGTATTTGCGAACCAATCTCTCCACTCTGGATCCGCCAGAACTACGTTGGTATCGACCGAGCACAACTTGGTCGGCTTGCCATCCCAGAATTTCTGGGTCAGAGCTTCTTCCCGAGTCTGGCTGGTTCCAAACAGATTCCGATCGACTTCAATGGAGAGTGTCAAGAGCTTTTGTATTTTCTTCGTGTCCATACATGTCTTGGGAAAGTCGTGTAGCGTCCGGTTGAGTTGCTTCTCTTGTCGCGCTTTAATGGCTTGAATGACCGTGCCACGCGACAAGTTGGTGGTGTTGACCAACCCGTCTTTCCACGCGGCCGTGGCGAGAATATCGTAGTTGATTGGAAAACTCGGATTGGCCGACATTTTGTCCTTGGGAGGAATGGGAAAGGTTCCCGCCCGGGCGTGTGCGCACGCCCCAGAAGCTCCGGGCAAATGATCGCAGAGCAATGCCGTGAGTACGGTTTGATGTGAGACAGTCATGTCCAAGATGGAAATGTCGCGAGGATCCACTCCAGCATGAATGTATTTCTGTCGGACAATGGCGGTTTTGGATTGTCGATTGCGTTTGATCATTTTGAGATAGTAGAGTGCTTCCTGTGATTCCGTGTCAAAGGGTCTGATGTAGTCTCCCTTTTTTCCGTCCGGTCCTGCTTGTCCCGGCCAGTTTTTGTTTTCCGCATTGTATTTTCCCGTTGGCTTGATGTGTTGATTGTACATGGACGTAATGTAATCAAAGAGGTATTTGTAGTTGATGACAATCTTGACTCGGAATCGTGCCATGACCGTGTTTAGAATGAGTGGAAAGGCTTGTGGATACTTGGACGATGCCATGAGTAGATTGCCTCCAAGCATTTCAAACACGATGAGTCCATTGATGTTGTGTTCTTCCAAGTATTCCAGTTTTTGCAGAAACTGTTTGGTCAACTTTGGCTTGTGCTTGTTGTGGTTCACTCCTCCTTCAATGATGGATTCCGAGAAGGTGGGTGTGTGCGACAAGAGTCCTGACTCGTCGTGAGCACCTTCGCACTGCGCCGTTCCCATGTACTCATAGCGATCTTCTTGCAGCATCAGTTCACGGGCCTTGGTGCCACTCAACACACATTGCAGGTAGGTCGTCGCGTGCTTGGGAGGGCCCACGTGCAAGACCAGATAGGCTTTTCCTTCTTTGTAGTACTGCTGTTGGAAGACTGCACTACTAGTAGCTTGGTGTGTGGTTCCATCTCCTCCTCCAATGTGGTCGTTGCATTTGTATGCGTACGATTATTCTTATTAAGCCCCAAGTGGTGGAGTGCCTGAACCTCTCTCACATCTTCCTCCAGCTCTTTCACGTTCTCCTCCAGCGTTGAAACAGCACGGAGATATTCCACGGCATACTTCCGATACGTAGAGATGGCATCATACGTATACACTGCCACGAAGAGGAGGGCGGCAACACGGAGCAGCTGCATAGTAGTTACTGTAGTAGGTAGGATCTCTTGGTTATGATAATTAATAGTAGTATGGATTGACTGACTCCACTCACTTCTTCTGGATTGTGTTTGGGTTGCAATGCCATTTTGTGGTGCTTTTGGTTTTCTGCCCTCGCTCGAGCGGTACACGTACACACAAATTTCACTTTCTCACAGCCACTGGAAACCGTACATGTATCATACTATTTTGCCCTCAAGTGGTACCAACTAGCCTTTTGAACTTTATCTTGTGCGTGTGTGTGTGTGTGTGTGGATGTGTGTGTGTGGTGTGTGTGTGTGTCGCGTACATATGGTGCGGTTTCCCTAGTAAGATTAAGGCTATCAAAGCGAACACGTACATATGGTGCGATTTCCCTAGTAAGATTAAAGCTATCAAAGCGACTGATTAGCCTTGGCTTTAAGAAACTAACAATAAAAATGAAACCTTTGCCTTTAGATAAATTCTAGTTGAGGGCACTAAGAACAGACAGCCGTAGGCTAGTGTGCCCTCAACTAGCATTTATCTAAAGGCAAAGGTTTCATTTTTTGTATGCTTCTTAAAGCCAAGGCTAATCAGGCGCTTTGATAGCCTTAATCTTACTAGGAAAACCGCACCATATGTAGTGTTGCTTTGATAGCCTTAATCTTACTAGGGAAACCGCACCATATTACGCGACACACACACACACACACACACACACACACACACACACACACACACACACACAGCAACAACACATCCAGCCATCGAGGTATTGGATTTATGGTTTAGTTTAGCTTGGTCTCGGTCTATACCGTACCAGCTCCTATGTGTCTATTTTCGAAATCACCCACAAAACAGGGTACCCTTGCTTTTCTCACAGCCTACCCGGCTTGTATCTTTTGCCATCCCAGCTTGCTCCACATGATGAAGCAAACAGCGAAATTCTAAAGCTCAGAATTTGGAAATCAGCAAACAACGGTATACCCCATGGATAAACATCCAATGTAGATTCGTCGTAGATTAATCTCTAGTAGTTCTACACAAATCTCACACAAATCACACATACTCACACATCTCACACAGCACTCAACGTACACACACCTACACACACATTCTCGTGTCGAGAAAGGATCTGTCGTCCCAGACACCAACCAAAACGCCATTTCAGCCCCTTCGAACACCAACGAAGGCGCAACAACTTTGAAGGTCTGAACCCGACTCAAGAGTACTCATTATATCAAGGGTATCTCAAGTTGGTTCCCCTTCGAACCCCAACAAAGCATCATTGTCGCCCCGACCGATAGACGAAAAAGAGGAGCGAAAAAGAGATACGAAAAAGATACGCCAAGGTAGCACACCTGCTCTGGATACTCTTCGCTCCTTTCGAATCAATCGAGTCGAATCGAATCAACCGAATCGAATCGAACGCACCTTACGTACGTTCACTCGGAACCTCTACGTACGTCACTCGGAACAGAAACGAACGCACCTCCACGTACGTCACCGGAACACGAACACGAAAGAACGTTCCGAAGCACGATGAACACTTGGTTTTAAGAAATACGTATCTTCGCTCCGAGCCACCGATTCCACGGAGACGGATTCGGAGCTACTTCAACCAACCAAGCACCATACTACTACATAATAGTAACATGCCTGAGGCAAGAATTGAGAGAGTTCCCATCCTTCGCAATGGTGGTCGTGGCAGAGGCCGCGGCCGCCGCCAACTCCAATGGCGGTAACACCAACGCCAACAGGAACAACAACCAGCGCGAAGATGATGGCTCCCCAGCAGGAAACGAACTGCCTTTGATCCATCCGCGATCAATCCTCAGACATACCAACCCGATGCAACACAAAAGAATCACGAGTGGCCCCACTGCAAGCCGCCCTGAATTTCCTACATGGCACCACTGCGACGCTCCCATGAGGCATACCACCGTACCGTCAATAAAGTAGGAGAGGAATTCATCAAAGCCTTTGCGGCACACCAGCGCAACAAGGACACTCTCGACGGTATGATTGATGGCAACAACCAAACCGGGAATTGACCCCGTCCCGGATTCCGAAATCAGTCGATATCAAATTCGAACTGAAGGCTGGCAACCCAGCAATGGAGAGCGATGCGAGCTTCCAAGCTCTCCAACAAGAATCCACACAAGCTGTTGAACTCTACAAACAAACCCAAGCAAAAATTCTCATTCGAAAGAAACAACTGGACGTCAATATGCTCAAAAGGCCGTAGCCGAGTCCCTGGCTAGAGGCCTTCTGCCCATCGCCAATGGTCACAAGGTCATCTGCGGCAGAGAGAATCTCAATGGCCATGCAATCGTCAACACCATCCTGGAGGCACACCACGAGGTGTTGCTCAAACACACTGGCATTGACCTAACAGCATTTAGAACAATATACATTAACGTCCAGGGTCTTGCAACCATGCCTGATCCATTACCAGTAGTTGACACTCAGCAACAGCCTCAGCCACCTGTGGCACCTGCTCAGCCAACAACACATGCGCCTGTCCAGCCAGCAGAACCCCCAGCTCCTAACCTGCAGGGGCCCTATTCCATCGACCAACTGACTGCTGTCTCCAGCCACAGCGACCTCAGGCCACCCAGGAACACATCCAGCGATGCCTAGCACGAGGCGCTAGTGCCGAGTCCTTTGAGGACTACAATGAAGCCAAAGAGAGAGCACAGTCTCAGCTGGAACAAGACCATGACGCAGCATTCACCTATAAACTGGCAATGGAAACATATCAACATGCACTGGCACGTACCAAACCCAATGGAATCAACATCAGCAGGAGCTCCAGCAATACAGCAGGCCCTCCAGCAACACCAGCAGGCACTGCAGCAGTTCCAGCAGCAGATACAACAATATCAGCAACAAGCCCAGCAGCCCTCCATCCCAGAGTTGGCCAAGCTGGAGAGACTCATCACAGTGTCTTCTCACACCCATTGACCAGTACCAGACACCAATCCTCAAACAATGTCAAGTCCCTTGCTCTCAAGAAGCTACACAAAGAGGCCTCACAACCAAGGCCACAGAGGACACTGCAATGGAGATTGACAGTGAACCTGCCTCTGACTCCCAACAGATCAAGGATCTGGTCAAGAAAATGGTACAGGAGGAACTGAAACAGACCCAAAAGCAAATGCCAGAGCCACTGGCAAACATGCACCCAAGCGCTCAACCAACAGCGCAAAAACAATCAAAACAACAACAGCTCAAAAAACAACAGGAGGGGCCCACCCAGGGAGGCGCCTCCAGCAACAAAAAGAAATCTCCCAGCCAACACCAGCCCGCCAGAGGCGGCAGAACCCAACGAGGAAGGTCCAGTCCGCCCCAAGAGGCAAACGCCCAAGAAGCCAAAGCAGAGGCCGCCAAGGCGGCCGCGCGGCAGGGCTGGACGAGGAAGGGAGGAAGAGCCGGAGGAAGAGGCAACGTACCTCCAGAGGCTCCACAAGATCGAACAGAGGCCGCTCCAGAAGTCCTCTCCCAGCAGGAGGCAGAAATCCAACACCAGGAGAAGCAGGTCCTCCAGGCGATCGACAAGGAGATAGAGCTCACATATGGCTTCGTCTCAGACCCCGACCTCATCTACACGACAATGTACAAATTAGACTCCTTCATATGCCGCGCTGGTACTACTTTGCCAGGCAACCAACCTTGCATACCACGACCTTACCACGACAATTAAGCCCCCACCAGGCCTCTACTCACTGTTGGGCCTGGGCCACAAGTTCATTCCTACACCTAGATACTCCACACTTGGAATGACATCGAATCAACACCCTCACCAGGTTCTCCAGGGACCTGAGGGTGAAAGCCTTCTGTATTGGCCACCTGCAGGAGGACAACACAGACAAAAACAATAGCAGTGATGAATAAAATCCACGAATGCATCTGCAGTCTGACTGGCTCCCACCAGCCCATATTGGTGCCGACTCCAGTCATAGACCAGCGCCTTCAGCGCTTCAGCAGCTTCTCCAGAGCAAATTCAGCCGGAAGAAGAGAGGCAGAGCCAACCTTCTGCCCCACCAGCGGCGTGCCTCTGCCAACTCAGACGCAACAATCCCTTATGGTGTCCAATGTGACAAAACCTGGGCCCAGCGACAATTGAACGGCATGCCTACATGAACATGCATTTCCGCGACCACCTTGATGATGAAGCCACCATGAATTCATCCCACCCCACAAGGTTGAGCACTACAAAGACAAAGTGAAACAGCGTCTCCTGAAGTGGCTCAAGAACTATGGCAGCACTTCCTGCACTGACAAGGAGAGAAAATTCCTCAAAGCTATGATGAAGAAGAATGAGGAACCATTTGCTTATTTCTACTTGACAATGAAAGTCACAAAACACCCCTCAAAACCAGGCCATTGTCTCCTACAGTGGCAGCCTGCTGGAGGGGCTGGGCATCTGGCTTGACTCCAAGCTTCAGCAAGTTGCTCAATCAATGAGATCCTACCTCAAAAGCTCCTTCGATCTCAAACAGGAGCTCATGTCCTGCAGCTACCACCCCACTGCAAACTCTTCACAGCTGATGCTTCCTCAATGCTACACCAACATTCCCACGAGACAGCCATCACCAAGATCTCAAAGTGGCTCAAAGACAACCAAGAACAGTTCCCAGACCTGCCCACCAAGGCAGTCCTCAAGGCACTGATTCTCATTATGGAGTGGAGCTTCTTCCACTTCGGTGACACCACATGGCGGCAACTCAGGGCACTGCAATGGGAGCCCCACCAGCCCCACCCTATGCCACCATCTACTTTGCCATCCTGGAGTCCATTCTGCTTCGATCCTTCATGGATAGTCTTGCAGTTCTGCAGCTCTACAGGAAATACATCGATGATGTCTTCGGCATATGGCACTGCCGAATGGAAGACAACCAGCTCCTGTGGGAGGGCTTCCAAAAGGCAAATGAACAACAATGAGTACAAGCTGCACTGGGAGTTCACTGAACTCCTCCAGTCAGGTGGATTTCATGGACATGACAATCACCCTCACACATGACAACAAACTGGTAACCACACGGTATGAGAAACCAACCAACTTGTTTCTCTACATTCCCTCCCACTTTCCCTGTCCCCACCCCCCCCACCATGGCCTTCCTGTCTGTAGTGGTGTGATGGCAACCTCTTAGGATCTATACACTATGCTCTGAGGAGACTGACAGGCTCGCCAGGACCAAGCTCTTCTTCAAGAGGCTCCTTGCAGGGGCTACCAAGCCACACACTTCGGCCCCTCTTTGAAGAGCAATCACCAGGGCAAGGGCCTACACTGGCCCCCAGCCCAACAACAAATAGAGGGACACCATGGGAATCAGCTGCTGCACCTGAATACCACCCCAAGGATCCCCCATCAAAGGTCTTCCACAAGGCTGGCAGGGATTGCTTTCCAATCCCCGAACCTGATGCCCTTCAGCATGTCCGGATCCCACACACAGTGGGCCCCATGCGAGGCAACATGCCAATTGGACTGGATAGGATGATTGAGCCTATTCCAGGCCCCCCAACCTTGGTAACATACTTTCCTACAGGAAGGATCCAGAATTAGATGGCTCCCCCGTCTCATCCTTTCTGGATTAGAGGCTTGTTCGGGAGCCATTGGCACACACCACCCACACACCAACACACACACGCCACACACCACACATTCCAGTCCACGAGGTATGTGGATTTATGGTTTAGTTTATGCTTGTCTCGGTCTATACCGTCCAGCTTCCTATGTGTCTATTTTCGAATTCACCACAAACAGGGTACACTTGCTTTTCTCACAGCACTACACCGGCTTGTATCTTTTCCCATCCCCAGCTTTCTCCACTTATGAAGCAAACAGCGAAATTCTAAAGCTCAGAATTTGGAAATTCAGCAAGCAACGGTATACCCATGGATAAACATCCAATGTAGATTCGTCGTAGATTAACTCTTAGTAGTGTCTACACACATCTCACACAACATCACAATCTCACACAGCACTCAACGTACACACACACCACACACACACCCACAAGATAAAGTTCAAAAGGCCCAGAGCTTGCTAGCTGGTAGTTGAGGGCAATAAAGTTCAAAAGGCCCTCAGCTTGCTAGCTGGTAGTTGAGGGCAATAAAGTTCAAAAGGCCCTCAGCTTGCTAGGCTGGTAGTTGAGGGCAATTAAAGTTCAAAGGCCCTCAGTTGCTAGCTAGTGGTAGTGAGGGCAAGAGTTATAGGTAGTGGTAAACTGGCTGCAGCTGCAGCTGCACCCACACAATTGCAGCTAGTAAGTCTGCAGGCTGTTTATAAATCAACTTTTTGAGGAGATGTTAAAACTAAAACTGTCGCACAATACTTGGCCAATAGAATGGGAGGTCATTTTTCTGTCCATGGTCGGTTTTGGGGTGGATCTTGCAGTTGGAGAAAACAAACTACTGATAGGGGATTATGCTACGCTAAAAGAGCTCGGTTGGAGCTACTACACTACGATAACGATGATGACAAGGTGGACTCTGACTCCTGTGAAATTCATCGGGACTCTTTTATTCAACTTTCGAAGTTGCTATTCAACTTTTTCGAAGTTGCTTAGTATTAAGGTTAAATGATATCTGACTTGGTTTTAAGAAAACGCCAGAGCAAGTGTGAGACGCTATCCAAATGTTTAGCGTGACTCAATTAACTGTGATGGCTTCTGATAAAGAAACCAAGGAGCGTGAAGAAACCACAGAGCGTGGAGAAACCACGGAGCATGATGGCTTCTGATAAGAAAGAAACCACGGAGTGTGGAGAAACCACGGAGCATGATGGCAAGTACGGGCAACGGCAAAGTTCCTAACAAGAAACTCTCTCACAATGCGTGAAGAAACCACAGAGCGTGGAGAAACCACGGAGCGTGATGGCTTCTGATAAGAAACCACGGAGCGCGGAGAAACCACGGAGCATGATGGCAAGTACGGGCCACGGCAAAGTTCCTCACAAGAAACTCTCTCACAATGCGTGAACAAACCACAGAGCGTGGAGAAACCACGGAGCGTGATGGATTCTGATAAGAAACCACGGAGCGCGGAGAAACCACGGAGCATGATGGCAAGTACGGGCCACGGCAAAGTTCCTCACAGGAAACTCTCTCACAAAGTCTCTCACAAAGTCTCTCCGAGTCTTCACCCACGAGTCTTCACCCAAGAGTCTTCACCCACGAGTCTTCACCCACACCATCGACAAAACCATGATTCCCAAAACTACGTTTCCCTCCCTTTTTGTCATCGCCTTGTTCTTTTCGCTTTTGACCACCGTCGTCGAAGGTCTTGATGTCAACATCCTTCCTGTAAGTGTGAACATAGGCCTCCCCCACGTGTTCACCGTTCATCCGCGGACTGTTTTGGTTTCGTTGGTCGCAATCATAGCGACGCATTACCAGGTCGATAGGACAACAGTCACCCTAATATTCGGTGGCCAGGCTGTCCAAGGTTTTCGCCGTATGCGTGACATTCTCCGTATCGGATTCCGAGATGGGTACACCATGATTTTGGTCATTGGAAATCCAGCCGTTCAAGCCCTTCAAGCCATTCCACCACCCGCCCCCGCCCTCATTGCTGCCGCCCGACGAACACATGACATCAATTGGGGACGCATTGTAAACTACGTCACCGGCAACCCAAACGTGGCTAATTTTTTGCCCAATGTCAATGAACGGAACTTCATGTTGACCGTGGCTTTGATTTTGACGGAAGGCATCCCTGGCATTGTCAACATCCGCGGCCTTCGTGGAGAAGACAATTTCGACGCCAATGTCATTCTCGCCATCATGTACTACTATCGTCAGAAGGGATGGCCGGTATTGCCTGAGGCCTTTGTTCAGAATGTTTACGCCCAGATTTAAACGCCACTCCATCGAATCCGCCATTGAACCACCTCATCACCTCATCGTTTATAACACTCATGGTACTATCTTTGTATGTTTAAGATAGATATAACAACTAACGATGACTTCACGCAAAACGGTATTCAAACCCCCCAGGCTAATGAATGAATGATCGAATACTCAATAATTCGGTACCGGTTGTAGTATCTTTGCACGATTTGAATCAAGCATGACTGAAACATGTGTGTTGAGTCAGCAGACTTGCAGGTTTATAATTGGCAAGATCCTGTGACAGCATTGGCTCTTGCTGCCAGCTTTATTTGCATGCTTTTCACTAACAGCATAATTTTGCTATTTCCACACAATTCTAAGGCTGGTCTCTACCCGAGCGACTAAGGTACCGACTAAAGGAATCCTTTAGGTGGTTGTTTAGTTCAAGATTTAGTCATTATCCTTTAGTATTGGTGGTGTCTACCAGCAGATGACTAAATTTTGGACTAAACAATTTAGTCAGTTCTTTAGTCATTTGGACTTGTCTACCCAGCACTAAACAAATGACTAACCGGAACACTACTGGACTTAAAGGACTCAAACAAGATTTAACAAAAGTGATCACATGGTGGGCTACCAATATTCTATCAGCATAGTGGATTTAAAGGACTCAAAAAAAGACTTAAAAGAAGTGATTACTTTTTTGAGTTAACAAGACTGAGAAACACCACCATTGCACTTGCACCTCTCCTCTGTCATTCAATCGTTTGCACCTCTACTATCTTTGGATGGTTCGATCGTTTGCACATCTACTATCATTTGGATGAGTTCGATTGTTTGCACCTCTACTATCTTTGGATGGTTCGATCGTTTGCCCCTCTACTATCATTCATTGGACCGTTTGCACATCTACTATCATTCGATCGTTCGATCGTTTGCATCTCTACTATCAATCATTCGATCGTTCCATCATTTGCACCTCTACAGTACTACTAATATCATTCATTCGATCATTTGCACCTCTACTATTCATTATTCGATCGTTAGGGTTAGGGTTCTTTAGTCGCTCGGGTAGAGACTGGCCTAACTATCCAGAACTGATCTATTTGATCTCCAGCACATATTACATTTATTTGGTACCGCCTAGATAGGTCACCAGTAAGCACTCGCATGAAGCATGACTGAAACATGCGTGTTGGGTCAGCAGACTTGCAGGTTTATAATCGGGAAGATCCTGTGACCTGTGACAGCATTCACATCCAAAAATCCAACAGGAAACCCATGGCAACAAATCACTCGATTGAAGCGGTTGATCATGATCAGTGTCTTCATGAATTGTCAAACGGCGGCATGGGTACAAGTGGCTCAAAGAGTACTTAACGAAAGAAGAACTGCCACGCGACCTACTCATCAACGAAAGCGACTCCCGAGTGGACACACAATCTTTTTGGAGTTTATGGTGTGCCAAGGGTCGAGAGCTAATTCCATGGGGGAAAATGCTGACATATGCCAACTGGGGGAGTGGATGATGCAAATGCACCAGGCACACCAGGGGCGCTAGGAGAGAAGCTGCCGGTGCAACTACAAGGCGATGAGGGAAGCTGGTGAGTATGCGTTTTTGCAATGAGATCAAGTGAAGGATTTGGACGCAGTACGTGGACAGCCGAAAGCGGAGCGTCAACCTACTCGGGAAATGTTGACGAAGGAATGACGGATGTGGAAGAGATCGATGAAGGAATCAAGGTTGGATGTGGAAGAGATCGATGAAGGAATCAAGGTTTGGAAGTGGAGACAAGATTCGGGGGGAAGTGAAGAAAGGAACAATCAAGTTGACGGCAATTCAGCGCAATGGCACAACACATGACTCTACACTGTCGGATTATAAGTAGTATGCCCCCCCAACCTGGGCGTATGTTTTATGTTTGTTTCAGTTTTTTGTCAAATATAATTGAAAAGCTCACAATTGTTTAGTCCGACCCGCGGCACCCAGCCAACAACTAACTTCGTCCAGCCACAATCACATCCAGACCACGCGTAACGGTGAGAAGAAAACGGATCCGGCGCAACCTAAAATGTTGAAGCATTAAACAAACTAGCTAGGTAGCTATGAAGTTCATTGCTCAAGGTCCTGAGCCAGCCAAGCGAGCGAGTAGGTGGGAGGGACATTGCTGAAGGCCCTTTTCAAGGAGCCCCAAATTATCACAAGCAGCAGCCTCCAAACAAAGCCATTCGAGTACTCCCCAACGGATATATTTTGCTGCGTTGTCAAAGAGATCTTCAAGCAAGAATGTGTCTCCTTCTTGTTCTTGGAAAAACTTGAGAGTGTCCAGGTCCCCCCTTTTCGCAGCTGCAACCTTGCCACTCAGAATAAGCTCCTCCAAAGTACCACGAGCAGTAGCCTCAAAACAAAGCCATTCGAGTACTCCCCTTGCTGAGGTGTCAAAGAGATCTTCATGCAAAAACGTGTCTCCTTCTTGTTCTTGGAAAAACTTGAGACAGTCTAGGTGCCCTTTTTTCGAAGCTGCAACCTTGCTACTCAGAACAAACTCTCCTTCGAGAGGACATCCATTTTCAACAGCCCATTTTAAAACATCCAAATGACCTCCTTCAGCCGCGTAAAAGCATGTCCATGCATCCATGGACATCCCCTTCCCCTGGCGTATTTGAGGCACTCAAGCTGTCCAGTTTCAGCAGCAAAACTGCATGTATGACTGTCCCAGGGACAGCCATTTTCATGTGCATATTTGAGGCATTCCAAACTACCACCTGATGCAGCACACGAACATGTTGATCGGTGCCACCGACAGCCATTTTCATGAAGGTACTTTAGAACTTCCAAGTGCCCCCCTGCTGTTCTTCGCAACCCTCCTGCTTGCTTTGACCATTTCTGTAGGCCCATTTGAGAGTTTCAAGGTGCCCACCACGTGCAGCCGCATTCCATGGACTGTAGCAAATATGAGTAATCTCACAGCCATTCTCGATGACCCATTTGATGCTTTCAACATGCCCTCGACTGGCTAGGGCAGTAATGATCCGAGAAGGGGTCGAATCGCCCCTTGGGAATTTTTTCCACGCCCATTGAAGCAATTCCAGGCTTCCATGTTTTGCGATTGTCCAGAGTGCCTCGTTGTCGTTGGCCCAAGTCGCCCAGTATTCAGCACACCCCAAGTTAAAGAAAGCGGTGCTGTAGAATGTCGAAGTTGCACCTGCCTTAGTGAGACCATCACGACCAACTTTTACTAGTGGCTTGCGATCGACAAGCTCGTCGCTGTCGCAGTATCGCTTGTAGAGGTTGTTAAGCTTCCAGGAAGAAGCTCCAATGTAGGCATATTGTCCCATGCCTAGGAATGGAAGGATATTGCCGGTCCAAACATCATCGCTCAAGGTATCAATCGAAGAGGCCATCGTGGTTTGCTTTTTTGTGTGGCTGTTGCTTTTTTTTTGCGTCTTTTTTTTGCTTTGTCTGTGTCCTGCTACAAGTAGTAGGCTTCACTGGGCGTGCAATGTTGTCCATGCACATCAACTGTGGTCGGTGTGCGTGCACCACCTAGTTTGGCACCATATTTCAATGGACGCGCGGATTGGAATGGACTACTAGTATCGATAGGCTATGTATGCATATCGGGGGCTCAGTCTAAGAGCTCACAATCTGAAAAGAGAGAGAAAACCAATAGCCAGTCTACTACTAGACAGCAGAGCTGGCAAGATACAGTTTAATTAGAGAAATTGTGCGTCCAAGTTCACCCCCTAACCCAAAAGGTTTGCGCGCCTGTTGTCCCGGTTTTTTAAAAAAAACCGGGACAACAGGCGCGCAAAATAACTGTTTCAGTTATACTGGAGTTCGCTTCAAGATTGGTTATGTTTTTGTTTTTGTTGTTGTTTGTCTTGAACCCCTATTTTGTTCAAGAGTGCTCTCATCCCATAATTTTCTTGCGCCCAGGACGCGAACCAACCCGTTTTTTCAATCTGATCGCTGATTATGTCCTCTAACACTGTTACCGCTTGACCAACCAGCCAAACCACAACAACAACCCAACAAGAGCAGAAGTTGTTGTCTTCAACCTTGGATCCTCTTCTCTATGCTGACGACTTGGTCTGGGTCGACAAACTTCTTCCTTTTGTTGGCTTTGGACAGTACGCCTTTGTAGGAGCTGTCAACAAGAGGTTCAATAAGCTGTACAAAGACTACTGTGCAGAAGAACTCAAGCAAAATCCAAGGAAGGTAAAGAATAACCATCGACGCCATGCAGAAATCCCGGACACTCTTTGCAGCGAAGTATTCTGCAATGTGCCACGTGCAGAGTACTGGTATCAGGACAATTCCCGCAACAAAAAACCCCATCGGGATCATGTTTGCACTGCCATTGCAAAAACTGGGAATCTTGATGTCATGAAATGGGCACAACAAAAAGAATTCCCATGGAACGAGGGGACGTGTGCTGCAGCTGCTGCTGAGATGGACATTTGAATTGTCCATGGTTACGAGAGAAATGGTTTGTCCATTGGGATGAGAACATGCCACTTTGCTGCCCGAAATGGCCATTTGGGAGTGCTACAGTGGGCTCATGAAAATAGTTGTCCATGGAATGCTAATTACATGCCGGTATGCTGCTTCAAATGGACATTTGGAAGTGCTGAAGTGGGCTCGAGCAAATGAATGCCCTTGGAATGAAGAAACATGTCACCATTGCTGCCCCCAACATGGCCATGGGAAGTTTGCCAATTGGCCCACGCAAACGAGGTCATTGGAACGAGCAGAGATGGCCTATCGCTGCTGAAGGAGGGCATTTGGAAATTATATAGAGAGATCTGCACCACTGTGAATGTGTAGATTGTCAGGGGAATCTATGGACATGCGTGAGTGCTGCCCAACATGGCCATTGGGAAGTTTTGAAATGGGCACGTGAAAAAGGATGTCCATGGAATGAAAGGACATGTTGGACCGCTGCTCGACATGGTCAACTTGCCGTTCTCAAGTGGGCCCGCGCAAATGAATGTCCATGGGACGCAAATACATGCCGGATTGCTGCCCAAAGAGGAAAACTGGAAATCTTGAAGTTTGCTCTATGAGAATGTTTGTCCATGGGATGCCGCGGACATGAAGTGCGACTGCTGGCGACATGGCCATTGGAGTTGAAGTGGGCCCGCAAAAAGGGCTGCCCGTGGGACGAACGGACATGTTCCTATGCTGCTCTAAGCGGCGCCCTGGAAATATTAGAGTGGGCTCGCGAGAATCACTGTCCGTGGAATTCACAGACATGTAGGGCTGTGGCCAAGGTTGGTACCATAATAATGTGGCTCAAGTGATGCCGCGGAGAAAGGGGCTGTCCATGGGACACAGATACATGTAGGGCTGCTGCCCAAGGTGGTCACCTTAATGTGCTCAAGTGGTGCCGCGAAAAGGGCTGTCCATGGGACACAGATACATGCTATTATGCCGCTGCAAATGGTCACATCGAAGTGCTAAGTTGGCTCGTGGAAATGGTTGCCCTTGGGATGAATGGACATGCTCTGCAGCTGCTATGTATGGTCGTCTGGATACCCTGGAATATGCTCATGAAAACGATTGTCCTTGGGACGAGGGGACATGTGTGTGGGCTGCAGGCAATGGTCACCTTGAAGTGCTAAAGTGGGTTTGTGCAAACGGGTGCCCATTTGGATATAGAACACACGAAGCTGCACAACGCAGACCCGCAGTGATCCAGTGGTTACGCAGTCAACAACCCTAGATATAGAACACACGAAGCTGCACAACCCAGACCAGTCTCCGCAGTGATCCAGTGGCTACACAGTCAATAACCCTAAAAAGGAACATTATTTTGACAAGTAATATCTATCTATCGTCTGGCTGGCTTTTTTTGCGCACATGTTCTTACTTTAAGCGCGCTTCTCGTGGGGAAGTATTCGCTCTCGAGATCCTGTAGCATCTCGCGGGACGTGGCAAAGGAGCAGGCTTTTGCGGACGGCCTTTTTTGGCGAACAATTTTTGCAAGGAATTTCGGATTTAGTCCGCAGTCACTGCGTTAATGCTCTTGGTTTTTGGCGGTGGAAGGGTCATTACAGAGCTTTAACGATGGTCCAAATATTTAGGGTTAGGGTTAGGGTTAGGGTTAGTGCTAGGGTTAGGTTAGGGTTAGTTTTAGGGTTAGGGTTAGGTTAGGGTTAGGGTTGGGTAGGTTAGTTTAGGGTTTAGGTTGGGGGTTTAGGGTTGTTAGGGTTAGGCGTTAGGGTTAGGTTTTAGGGTTAGGTTTTATGGTGGGTTTGTTAGGTTAGGTTGTTAGATTAGCGTTAGCCTTTGCAAGGTTAAGGCTAGTGATCAAAACCAGATACTTATGGTGCGATTTCCCTTGCAAGGTTAAGGCTAGCGATCAAACCAGATACATAAGGTGCGGTTTACCTTGCAAGGTTAAGGCTAGCAAACACTTCCTTGGCCTTTAGAAAAATGCAAGTTGAGGGCACTAGCCTCTGGCTGGCTGTCCTCTTGTGTGTGTGTGTGTGTGTCGTGTACATATGGTGCGGTTCCCCTAGTAAGATTAAGGCTATCAAAGCGAACACATACATATGGTGTGGTTTCCCTAGTAAGATTAAAGCTATTAAAGCGACTGATTAGCCTTGGCTTTAAGAAACATCCAAAAAAAATAAAACCTTTGCCTTTAGATAAATGCTAGTTGAGGGCACTAGCCTACTGCTGTCTGTTCTTTTGTTGGCCACCCATCCAGATGTTCCAAGTAATAAAAATTACTGTAATGTCTGCGTAGTCGTAGTCATAGGTTACTGCTGTGAAGGCAACTACAGGCTAGCTAGCTAGCTGGTGTAACAAAGCGACTAACAAGCCAGCTACCTTTTCCTGGATTTTCCTAATATTAGTTGATATAGTGGGTGCGGTCATATCGCATGGTCCGGAAAGTCTCCCGAGCCCAAATATCTCGAGTTCATTAGCGCCACTCTTCCATTTACTCGCCCTTTGCCTTTGTCTTCTTGTAGGAGTCGAACATTCCCATTCCCCTCTTGTAGGAATTGTGCATTTCCATGTAAACCTTCAAGTTATCAGGGAAAATGTCAATCATACGTTGTGCGAACATCCCCTCATTGGTGAGCACCGTGTGTTCAGCAAGGTCACTGTGGTTATGGAAGATGCGTTTCTCCAGGTCGTTGTTTTCTTCCATCAACCGCTTCAGTTCCCCAAATGCCGGTGGGAGAGCGGAGATATCTTCCTTCGGCCAAAGATATTCCTGGTAGGTTGATTTGCGCTTCTCTACAAGGAGGGACAAAGCGTTGTTGTCCTTCATGATCTTGGCGTAGCGTTCGTCGACTATGTCAATGAAAGGTTGATTCCACAAGGTGGTGTCGTATTGTGCATCGTAATCTGTGGTTGTAATGCCGAAAGTGTTCAACCATTCCCCTAGGTCCTTCACTAAGGGGGCGCTCGGGAACCCGGTTGGGTCATCCCCCAGCATCGGTGAGATGTCGCCTGTGTCAACAATCCATGAAGCCAGCTCTTCATCGTCGACGTAATCATTGCGGTCAAGCATTTCGACCATCCGAGACAAATCAGCAGGAGGGATACCACCAGGTTTCTTCACGATGGCCACATAACGCTCGGTGAGTTTCTTGGGTGCATCCTCGCCGCAAATGTCCTTCCTCCATTTAATACAATGAAACATGGCTGCTTCCCGACTGCGCATATCCTTTTCGTCGAATTGGGGGACTTCATCATCGTCAAAAAGTCCAATGATGAGGGGAGTCAAGTCGTTGATTTTGTATTCGTGCTGGGGGATTCCCAGGTCTGCTGTTATGTACTTGACGAGTGCCACTTTCATGCAGCGAAACGCAGAGTGACCTGAGTGGGACACGGCTGCGAGAAAGGCATTCGCGAAAATCTCCTTTTTTGGATTGTCCCGCGTGCAGCTTTCCCGGATGTGTTCAATGACATTGCCATCTTCCATCTTGCTGGTGTTTTGGTTGTTTGGCTGTTTGGTTGTTTGGTCGGTCGTCAGGGAGCTGATCAATAGGTTGTGAGGTTGTGAGGTTTGTGTGCTTGTTTCAGCCTAGCTGGTACCAGGTAGCTAGCCAGCTAGCTACACAGTACACCACTACTCGTAGTCTACGTTCTACATGACTTAGTGTGATGGTCTGATCGTGATCTTCTAATTGTTGAGTTGTACTTGGAAGACGGGTCAAGACCAAAACTAATAGAGGGCAGTTGACCCTGGACACAATCCGTCCTTGTTTTGTGACTTCTACGGTCATGGGGAGACCATCCAGTAGTAGCCTAATAAATGATTCTTTTTGAATTCATGAAACAGACCAAAAGGGTGTCAGTTATTTTGCACGCGAGGATGGCAGGTCAATGACTGTTTTGTTTTGTCGCACTCAATTCTAGTAATCAGGCTTCATTATGTTCTTAATACTAAGGTTTTGATTTTACTGCCTTGAACTTAAGAAACTCTTTTCTTGAGCCTGGGTTGCAGGAGTCCCTAGTGCCTGTACTGGTGTATTTAGTCACAACTGAGCCTCTCTATTTTCCTTATTTGTTGGGTGCACACTCTGCTTCAAAAAATGCTAATCATGAGTTTCGTTGTTGTTTTGTTTGGGCTGCTTTTTGCACTCCCCGTTTTTTTTGTTCGCGCGCTTTCGTTTGTTGGACACTAGCAAAGGCCCGTCCTCTCCGTGGTAAGATTCGTCATCTCCCTTGGTGCAGGCGGGTCCTCCAGGAGCTGGCACTGGCATCCCAGCGATTGTGATTTCTTCTTCTCCTTTTCCCTCCTCTTTGATGGTCGCGCGGCGATTGGTGGTGTTGGGAGCCTGCTCATTGGGGGCTTGGCCGCTGTCCGTGTCACTATCGCTGTTAGATCTTGTGTTATTGATTCGTTCTTTCTCCCTCTGTAGTTCCAACTTGGCGGCTTCTTGAGAGCCAAGGCTGGCGAGGTCATCGTCGGTGTCAGTTTCGTTTTCGTTCTTGGCTCCAGCTAGGGCAAGAATGCCGTCCGAAAATGATCGGTGGGTGGACATTGTTGCTGGGAGAGCGAGGCACAAGGCGATTGGCTACTTGCAAGGCAGTGCTTTGGGTTTTGTGGCAACGCTGAAAACGGTACTGGGGTTTTGAGACCAACATGGACTCAAAAAATCGTGCCACGTGTGTGGTTTCCTTTCTGACGCAGGCGTAGCCAGCGGCCAAATAAATAGATATCTGTCTGGACTGTTCGACGGTTTTCGCTCAGGCTTTTAAAAACTGCATGACTGGTTCTGTGATTATTACGGTGATTCGGGATCCCCAGGTATGACATTGCCAGTGATGCGTAACCAGTGGATCACTTCAGCCTTTTTGCCAGACGTGCAGGCTTCTGCGTATCGATATACCTGTCTAGCATCCCATTGACAATCATTCGCACGAGCCCACTTGAGCACATCCAAATGGCCATGTTGGGCAGCCCTCAGACATGTCCAGTCGTCCCATGGACAACCATTTTCACGGGCCCACTTTAGGATTTCCAAATGCCCCCCTTTAGCAGCACTCGCACATGTCCCTTCACCCCACGGACAACCATTTTCACGACACCACTTCAGAATTTCTAAATGGCCATTTCGGACAGCCTTGGCGCATGTCTGTGAATTCCACGGGCAACCATTTGCACGGGCCCACTTGAGCGTATGAAGGTGACCGAATTCGGCAGCCGTGTGACATGTATGTTCGTTCCATGGACAACCATTTCCACGTGCCCACTCGATCACGTCCG